GGTGGCGCCTTGTTGCAGGTACATCGAAGACGAAGCTGGAGCTATGGCGCCACAGGTAAGTCTCCCTGGCCTCCGCCAACCATCTCTCTCTCCAACGCTACTCTAGCTCCTACTAGTGCCCAGCGCTGAAGACTACTCCTAACGCTACTACTACTACTTCTCCAGAGTGCTGCTGCCGAATCCTGAAGACTGCCTCCTGCACGTGAAGTGCCTGGGAAGTCCCTATGAACTCCCTGCAGCCTGCAGGGCGGGCCAGTCTTATATAGTGCTGGCCCGTCCAGGAGGCTGCTCTTGCCAATGCCAACACGTGCCAGACCCTGGAGTTGAAGCTCAAACAAAGGTTGTCTTGAAAACAAGCCCAAAATGGCCTGTGCTAAAACCCTGGTCTGGCGCCTAAGTTTCAGGGCAGGTCGATCTTATGAGGGCCTGAAAATGGCCCTCCGTTTCAGGCTGAAAAGACTCAGGGCCTGGAGGGCCCGGTTTTAGGCAGAAACGACACAGGGCCTGTAGGCCCTTGTTTTCAGGCTTTCAGGCTGAAACGACACAGGGCCTGTAGGCCCTTGTTTTCAGGCTTTCAGTCTGAAACGACACGGGGCCTGAAAATGGCCCTTGTTTGTAGGCGCAGCATGTAACATTTGGTGAGTGGTGGGTATTTACTACTTCGTATTTACTATTTAGTGTTCCTAAACAAAACACAGGTTTTTACACCTCTCCATAGATGATCACAGAAAAGACAACTCACAACAAACATTTTCTGAAGGTCAACTTTGGAGACTTCCATTACTCCACAGGCCGTTGTGAAATCTCCGCCAACGCGGCCTGTGTTTTAGGTAAATACATATTAGAATAGTAAAAACATAAGCTTGTAATACAGCAACACCTAACTCTAACACAAATTAATTCGCCTTTTTTTGCGTGGGCCCTCGTTGGACTACTCGCCAAATGCTTAAAATGGAGAGTGAATATTCAGCTGGAAGGCGGAAAGATACCGCTGACTTTTTCGTCTTTTTCACATTTGGTGACTGGAGGTCCGAAGCGCATGGAATCAGAAATACACCGGAAATCGGCTCTCACATGGAAAGGCATTAATTCAGTCCATCTCCCCAAAATAATAACAACTGCACACGACACCGATTCGCCTTCAGAACAAAAGTTGTCCGATCAACTGCATTGAGAATCGCAGAAACATGGGAACAATCCATGCACATGGAGAAAAAATAACCAAACTCACGTAAAGTGATTCTAGTCGTTGTTGCACGTGGTACACACATTCAGTGCATCCGGTCCTAATTGCACAAAATATCCACACTCATGCCACAGATAACGTCAAACCTGTTGCTCTAGAGCAAACAAGTTTATAGCGCTAACATGCTTACAGTGCTAATTGTGTCGTCAAATTGCACAAGACATGCGCACCCATTCATTGCTTACCCTTGTTTTCCAACTTGCCAGAAGTTTATATTCCCATCAAGGGCACTGTAGCAGACAAAAACAAATGAAGATAACAAAACAAACAGGCCCGACGGAGTTGCAAACACAAAGTAAGTAATTTGCAAGCATCATGAAAAACACAATCGCAATACAATATAAGGCGTGTTTTCCAACTTGCCACAGGTTCATGTTCCCATCCAGGGCACTGGAGCAAAAGAAAACAGACCAAGAGGGCAAGAAAAACAGAGGCACAGCAAGCCGCAAACGGAAAATGAATGTGTTTGGCAAGCAGCCGATAAAACAGTAAAGTATGACTTCCAACTTGCCAGAAGTTTATACTCAAAGGAAAAGTAAGTCCTCGGCAAGCAGCACATAAAACATTAAAGCATGTGTTCCAACTTGCCAGAAGTTCATATTCCCATCGAGGGCACTTTATGGAAAGAAAGCAGATCACAAGGACAAGACAGACAGAGAGGCACAGCGAGCTGCCAACTGAAAGTACGAACTTATCGGGCAGCAGGTAAAACAACAAGGCATCTGAGAGAGTGCATGCCGATGAAGCTGAATGGACCCTTGGGTGGTTACCAAAGGGTGAAAAAAGAGAATTGGCAGGGTGGTTCTAGGGCCTAAAGGTGAAGTCAAGTGTTTTAACGCCAAAGATAGGGCGGAAAGTGTACCCGAGAGAAACGGCGGCGTGGCAAGCCATTATTTTGAAGCCCAGACACTCCCGGTAAAAAAGGTCCAAACTGTGGTGAGTGCCCAAGGGCAAGGACTTTCCAGTCTTGAACCACCAGTACATCCAGCTATCTGCCGCGGTGTGGCAGACTGCGTAGTCACACGGGCCCTGTAGGACCCGTCCCGGACATTCAGCCTTAAAGCCTAAAACTTAGGAGCTACAGGCCCCGGTCGTTTCAGCCTGAAAACTGAAAAACGAGGGCCTGCAGACCCTACTCCGTTTCAGCCTATTTCTGGGCCTTCCCAGAGTTTTTCCAGCCTGAAACGGAGGGCTAGGCCCTGGGCTATTTTTAGGCCCTCATTTGTTTCGACCTGCCCTAAGATTCAGACACGAAAACTGGGTTTCGGAACAGGCTATTTCTGGCCTGTTCCCACGCCAGCTCGAGCAGGAGCTGCAGCTGCAGCCCCTGCCTCCCTGCGGCATTATTGGCATTAGCACGAGCAGGAGCTGCAGCTGCAGCCCCTGCCTCCCTTCGGCATTATTGGCAAGAGCACGAGCAGGAGCTGCAGCTGCAGCCCCTGCCTCCCTTTGGCATTATTGGCAAGAGCTCGAGCAGGAGCTGCAGCTGCAGCCCCTGCCTCCCTTGGCTAACCTTTGACGTTCATAGTGAGAGTAGATCAGCGGTGCGTTGCTTTCAAATCTGCTCCTGAAATCCACCGAGTGTCGCCGCGATCGCATGCTTTGAATGTGACTTTGTACTGCCGCGGCTTGCTGCCGTACTTGCGATCGGTGATGACGCGGTCAACTTCCTGATGGCCATCCATAGAAGGAGGGTCCTGCGATCGTCGGCCCGGAAAGTCGTCGCTCTTGGCTGGCGTGTATGTTGCCAGCTTCGAGGCGTGGAAGACCGGATGGACCGTCAGATGCTCTGGAATGTTGATCACAAATGAAGGGCCATCGGGCTCATCGCCCGTGGCTGCTGTCCAGCCACGAAGCAACAACAAGTCCCGCAACAATGGGAAGGCGAAATCCGCATCGCAGGCCGGAAATGGACAGCCAGTACAAGTTCCATGGGTCAAGTTCGGCTTGACCGAGGCGGAGTACAAAGTCTGCGGCCGCTACGGCAGCTGCTATTGGTGCAACAGCACCAAGCACAAGACCTCCCTGTGCCAGGATCAGGACAAGGAGGATGTGCGACCCCGCCTCAGCTCGGGAAACTGAGCTCCGTGGAAGGTGAGGCGACTCCACCTTCCACTCCGCCAGATTCGGCCGCCTTGCTAGCAGCCTCCTGCACATATGGGAAGGACGCGAATGTCGCAAGTTCTCGTTACTCTTACGAGGACTATGCTGTCTACTTCGTTCCACCGCTGGACCAGCCGCTCCACGTGCAACAGTCCACCGCATGCACGGTTTCATCACCATCGGCAACCGATTGGGCACCTTCGCCGCAATCTATCGTCAGGGATTCGACGTCATGGTCAAGACTTGATGAGCTCGACCCGTTGACGTTCACGGACTTTCAGTGGATGCCTGTTCCCTCGACCGGACGATTGCCGAAACCGCATTGCAATGTGCTCATGGCACAACTGCGGGACTACTTGCACACTGCAGTACCAGCTCCGTTGATGGACGGCGGAGTAGAGGTTGTCAACCTTCACGAGTACATCGCGAAGATTGACCGCGAGTTCAAGACGCAACGGTACGACGACATCGATGCACCATTGCTATACATACGCATTCACATCGGAGAGGCGACCTGCAGTGCCTTAATCGATTGCGGAGCATCTCGCAACTACATCAGCCAGGACTTCATGGTGCGCGCCGGCCTTGGCCCATGTGTCCGGAGGAAGTCCCAGCCTACACAAGTCACTCTGGCAGACGGTCATACGCACAAGTCAATCAACCGGTGCATTGACGCAAGTGAGGCGGTGTCCTTTGACATTCTGGACACCAAATTTAACATGATCTCGGGCATGTCATGGCTGCGAAGCGAGGATCACCCGGTGAACTTCTTCAACCGCACCGTTCACATTCGTGATCGGAACGGAGTACTAGTTCCATGCACGGTGCCTCTTCCTCATCCTTCTATCAACTTCCACGTGGTATCCGCCGCAAGCATGCGAGCATCCATCATCAGAGACGACATCGAGGAGATGGGGGTATGTTTTCYCCACGCCCTCCCGCCCCGAGACGCTTCATCGACGGACTCATYTTCGGATCCACGCATCACCGAGCTTCTCGACGCTTACAGCGACGTGTTCGAAGGCCCGCACGGAGTAGTACCGGATCGGCCCATCCGCCACGAGATCATCCTCGAGGACGGGGCCGTACCTCCGCGCGGCTGCATCTACCAAATGAGCAAGGAAGAGTTAAGTGTGCTCCGTGCACAACTCGACGATCTTCTAGTGAAAGGTTGGATTCGGCCTAACTCATCGCCATACGATGCTCCTGTCCTCTTCGTCCGGAGGAAGAACAAGGACCTGCGGTTGTGCATCGATTATCGCAAGCTCAACGCGCGGACGATCAGGAACGCCGGCCCTCTCCCACGCATCGACGACCTTCTCAAGCGATTGGGCGGCGCCCAGTTCTTCTCTAAGCTGGATCTCAAGTCAGGGTACCACCAACTCGAGATTCGCAAGGAGGATCGCTACAAGACCGCGTTTAAGACACGGTATGGGCATTTCGAATGGCTGGTCATGCCATTTGGCCTTACGAATGCCCCAGCCACTTTCCAAGCGGCTATGACATCGGAGTTCCGACACATGCTGGATCGGTTTGTACTCATCTACCTCGACGACATCTTGGTGTATAGTCGGAGTTTGGACGAGCATGTGGAACACCTGCGCACCATTTTGGAGCGGCTACGACAAGCCAAGTACAAAGCAAACCGCGACAAGTGCGAGTTCGCACACCAGGAGCTGGAATACTTGGGACACTATGTGACGCCGCAAGGCATCCGTCCGCTTGCGGACAAGATCGAGGCCCTAAGAGTATGGTCCGAGCCCACCAACACCACGAACGTTCGTTCATTCATGGGATTGGCGGGCTACTATCAGCGATTCATCACCGGATACTCCAGGATTGTTGCACCTATGACGAGGTTACAGTCGCCAAAGGTGCCATTCGTATTCGATGATGCCGCACGCTGGTCATTCCAAGCACTTAAGACGGCTATGCTCATGGCACCCGTCCTTAGCATCTATGACCCCACCCTGCCGACGCGAGTGACTACGGACGCTTCCGGCTATGGCATTGGGGCAGTCTTGGAACAGCACGGCAGCGACGACTGGCACCCTGTGGAGTATTTCAGCCACAAAGTGCCTCCCATCAACTCGCTTGATGATGCAAGGAAGGAGTTGCTCGCATTCGTCATGGCTCTCAAGCGATGGCGGCACTTCCTCCTTGGACGTCGTAGGTTCACATGGGTCACGGACAACAATCCATTGACTTACTACAAGACGCAGGATACGGTGCGCAGCACGATCGGACGATGGATGTACTTCATCGACCAATTTGACTTCACACCGAAACATCTGCCCGGCCTCTCAAATCGCGCAGCAGATGCACTCTCGCGAAGACCCGATCTTTGCGCTATGACACATCATGCCTTCGCATTCGACGAGGAGCTTCAGCGACACTTCATCCGGGCATATCAATCTGATCCGGACTTTGGCACGCTCTATGCACAGCTATCTTCGGATCACCCGCCAGCCAGCCATTACCGCATTGCCGACGGGTACTTGCTCCTCCACTCGAGAGGCAAGGACTTACTATGTGTCCCACGCGACCGTCGTCTTCGGACTCGCCTCCTYGGCRAGTAYCATGATTCACGACTCGCCGGCCATTTYGGAGTCAACCGCACTATTGCAYGRCTTCGACAGCGATTCCGATGGCCCGACCTCATTACCGATGTCACTCGGYATTGCGACTCTTGCGAAGTTTGCCGACGCAGCAAGCCCCGCAACCGCAATCCCTACGGCGAGTTACACCCGATGCCTATCCCACTGGAACCCAGTCTCTCCATTGCCATGGACGTCACCGGTTCGTTTCCTCGCGACCGGCTCGGGCACGACGACATCCTCACGGTTGTGGACCGATTGAGTAAGTACGCGCGTTTTCTCCCTTGCAAGTACTACTCCACGGCTCCCGAGCTGGCACGCCTCCTGCACACTGGTTGGATTTGTGGCCACGGTGTACCAAAAGACATTGTCAGCGACCACGACACTCGTTTCATGTCGGCGTTTTGGACTGCTCTCATGCAGGAGTCCGGCACAACAATGAAACCAAGTTCGGCTCGACATCCTCAGACAGACGGGCAGACAGAGCGGGCACATCAAACCGCTCAAATGATGCTTCGTACGCTCATTCGTCCAGACAAGAAAGATTGGGTTGACCGCCTCCCCGACATCGAGTTCGCCTACAACACTTCGGTGCACCCGACGATCGGCGTGACTCCATTCGAGTTGCACCACGGTGGACGGAAAGGCCGCATCTTCGTCGACCTTCTCCTCCCTCGACCAGCCGACATTGACGCCGMTTGCTCCCCCGCTKCCGTTCRGAAGTACAGGGACTTGCTGACTCAAGCCCGCGCAAATATGCAAAAGGCTCAAGTTCGCATGCAGCAGCAAGCCAACAGGCGTCGCGTACCATGTCCCATCCGCGCCGGTGATCTGGTTTGGGTCTCCGCGGAAGAGTTTGCACTGGAACAGAACGTTTCACGCAAACTGCTTCCCACGTGGTTTGAACCTTGGTCTGTGACAGCAGCCGCGGGCGATGAGCCTGATGGCCCTTCATTTGTGATCAACATTCCAGAGCATCTGACGGTCCATCCGGTCTTCCACGCCTCGAAGCTGGCAACATACACGCCAGCCAAGAGCGACGACTTTCCGGGCCGACGATCGCAGGACCCTCCTTGTATGGATGGCCATCACGAAGTTGACCGGGTCATCACCGATCGCAAGTACGGCAGCAAGCCGCGGCAGTACAAAATCACATTCAAAGCATGCGATCGCGACGACACTCGGTGGATTTCAGGAGCAGATTTGAAAGCATCMGCACCGCTGATCTACGCTCACTATGAACATCAAAGGTTAGCCAAGGGACCTCCACGACCTGCCCCTCCCACCTGGACTGTGGTCCCTCCCTCAGACAGACAGCTTCGCCCTCGCAGGTAAGCTCGGTCTTTCAAGGGGGGGGGGTGTGGCAGACTGCGTAGCCACACGGACCCTGTAGGACCCGTCCCGGACATTCAGCCTTAAAGCCTAAAACTTAGGAGCTACAGGCCCCGGTCGTTTCAGCCTGAAAACTGAAAAACGAGGG